AGACAAAATAAGTTCCTAAGGAAACTGGCAACCCCCTGCCCCTCACCTGCCCAGCAGCTGGTTCACATAATTTCACAACCTGCCAAGTCAGCCAAGCATCTCAGGCCTTCAATACTTTTGCTTGTCAACTTGGGAAAGTGGGCCTGGTCACCAACCTCCCTCCATATCTGGGAAGCATCTAATTAGTAGTAATGGCCAAGGCCAGGGTCCAGTAGGGACGGGTGTGGGGTGCCAGGGGTCTCCACTAGGTGATGTCAAGGGCTGGAGAATAAACACTAGGTTATGTCTTAATCAAAAGCCCAGTAAGTTGACTGGATGTTTTCTTTCTCAGAATATAATTAGACAATGTAACTGGAGGAACAACCTTGTATGTCACTTCCTACCTCAAATTTCATGTCATGTGGATTTTACTGAGAAATTTGACATTCATTCTGCTTTTTAAAAGGTGGTGGATACTGCTCCTCATGTGTCAGTTGGCTTTTTCAGCAGCTAACAGTAAGACATGGCAATGGACCCTACTTTTGCCATGCATAGAACAGCCACTATAATTAACACATCAAAAGAATTTATTCAATTACCCTTATGGAATTTTACGGAGAAATAGATTTGCCATAATCATATGCAATGGGCATTGGATTTTATTTAAGATGTGCTGTGCCTGTGAGTAACTAAGATAAGATTTTTGACCTCTGTATATTTTGTGCTTCAGAGGGAACTTCTGACAGTCCTACCATCTCTCTACATTAAAGGGATTTTTAAAGGTTCATTTCAGCCCCTAGTCCAAGTTCACGGCAGTGTCTCGTCTCTGCCGCATTTTCAAACCATTGTATTTTACATTTTACTGGTACTAAAGGAACTACACCATGTATTACCAATAAGAGTTTCTAGTTAGTAAAATTACTAGCAGTACTTAAAATTCATTTGATTACTTATGTCACTTTTTCATTAGAATCAAGATTATCCTGAGGTGGGATTTATACAATTTATTCTTTGTGTTCATTTTAAAAGAGTTACTTTTATGTTAGGTAAATTTCATCTCATTAAAGTATTTTTAAGTAAAAAAATAGTTATTTCACATAGCTCGAACACATTTTGAAACCATTTGAGTGACTTACTGCACGTCATTGTGGAGGAAATAGACAAAGGAAGGAAAGCAGACCTGGGAAAGAGGCTGCCTGCAGTTATCTAGGGAAGCAGCTGCCAACTGATATCTTGTCTAGGGAGGGAAGATGTCCTAAACTCTGCTTTCTGTAATTCTAGCCATAAATCTGTCCTATAAATCTGCCCCATGTACCTCTTTTATAAACATACTGGACCCACTGGCCATTGGAAGTGTGGTCCTATGTCACATAGGCTGCAATTTAAATCCACCAATGGGGGCCGGTGCTGTGGCATAGTGGGTAAAGCCGCCGCCTGCAGTGCCGGCATCCATAAGGGTGCCGGTTCATATCCTGGCTGCTCCACTTCTGATCCAGCTCTCTGCTATGGCCTGGGAAAGCAGCAGAAGTTGGTCCTAGTCCTTGGGACCCTGCACCCACGAAAGAAGCTTCTGGCTCCTGGCTTTGGATCAGCCCAGCCCTGGCCATTGTAGCCAATTGGGGAGTGAACCAGCTGACGGAAGACCTCTCTCTCTCTGCCTCTCCTTCTTCTCTGTGCAATTCTTTCAAATAAATAAATAAATTCTTTTAGGCTGGCGCCACGGCTCACTTGGCTAATCCTCTGCCTGCGGCGCTGGCACCCCAGGTTCTAGTCCCGGTTGGGGCGCCATATTCTGTCCCGGTTGCTCCTCTTCCAGTCCAGCTCCCTGCTGTGGCCCGAGAGGGCAGTGGAGGATGGCCCAAGTGCTTGGGCCCTGCACCCCATGGGAGACCGGGAGGAAGCATCTGGCTCCTGGCTTCGGATTGGCGCAGCACACCGGCCACAGCGTGCCAGTCGTAGCAGCCATTTGGGAGGTGAACCAATAGAAGGAAGACCTTTCTCTCTGTCTCTCTCTCTCTCACTAACTCTGCCTGTCAAAAAAAAAAAATTCTTTTAAAGATTTATTTTATCTACTTAAAAGACAGAGTTACATAAAGAGGTAGATCCAGAGAGAGAGAGAGAGAGCCAGAGAGAGAGAGAGGTCTTCTATCTGCTGGTTCACTCCCCAAATGGCCACAACAGCCAGAACTAAGCCAATCTGAAGCCAGGAGCCAGGAGCCTCCTCCAGGTCTCTCAAGGGGGTGTAGGAGCCCAAGTACTGGGGCCATCTTCCACTGCCCTCCCAGGCCATAGCAGAAAGCTGGACTGGAAGAAGTGAAGCAGCCAGAACTCGAACCGTTGTCCATATGGGATGCCAGCGCTGGAGGCTAGGGCTTTAACCCACTGAGTTAGAGAGCCAGCCCCAATAAATATATCTTAAAAAAAAAATAAACCCACCAATGCTGTAATAGTTAAGGTATGATGCTGATTAACCTATAAATATTGTAAGAAACTTGGGTTTGATGCTCAGCTCTCAGGAAATGATTCCCACTGAGCCTGCTGGCACTAATAAACTGCTTTCCATCCTCCACTGTCTCTGGTGCCTGTTTGAATGAAGGGAGTTTTCCCACCCCAGCTTTCAGTAGCATCATAATGCTAATTTATGAAGAGCAGCATTTTTGTTCTTGTTACAAAAGGTGTATCTCATAAACGAGAATGCTTGTACTTGTGTTTGCAATGGTAAATGGCCCTGAACTACTGCCTCCTCTCTGCAACATTCAGGTAGCAGGATGATAATTTCATTTTTCTGGTCAAACAGTAAGGACACCTTCCTTTAACTAACCATACAGTCACTTCACTGAATTCCTTTATCTAGATGCTAATCTCCATCTTAATTCTTTGTTGATATTTAATTCATCACACTATTTTGGATAAAACAGGAGTTGCCTCTTCTGTGAATACAGATATAACACCACAGAACCATACTAGCTCATGTTCTTGTTTTGTCTTACATCAAGTTTGACATAGTTGGGCCTGTGTAATTTCAGAATAAGGCCAGAACCAAATTTATTTCAAGTGACTAGAATAAATTATTTTCACACCATTAGTTCAAGAATTAAAATTTTAAAACCAACTTCCAAAGAGCAATTTGAAATTTTAAGTAATAACTTTGGAATCCTTCAATAATCACTGCTAAACTCATAATTTTGCAAAGCACAACAAGTTAAAAGATCAATTCTAGATTAAGGAAATTATTCTTCTTAATCCTAGTAGAATAATGTCTCTTCCACATTATGTTACAGAGTTCTCTTGGCTTTTTTATGTAGAATCAATAAGAATCTATAAATTCATAGCAAAACCAAGAAAATATACGACAGGAAGTCACAAACTGAGATATTATTTTCACTAAATTCCTTTTTAGGAGATTCAGATACACACAAACTCACAAAATTAATTAGTGTCCAATACACTACATGGTATAGAAGGTGGATTTGTGCAGGAAGGATTAGTAATAAGAGGCAAAGGCCACTAATATTTCGGTATCAGGACAGGCAGGATGCTATTCACAGAATTCACAGAACGCCTTCTTACTCCTTCTGGACCGCAAACCTCTTTCCTATAATCACCCAATAAACTACAATGAAGTAACATTAAGAGGCTGATGCAGAGAAAGTAAATTCACAGTTAAGGTTGTCCTTTAACATGTAGGCTCAATCAAGGGCACTGAGAAAGTAGTTAAGTGGCCCCCCTGCAGTTTTCAGATGCTAGAAAGCACTGCAAACTGTTAATTTTCTAGCTTTTAATGTTTGTCCAGGACCCTTAAGATTTTTCTAACATTGTTGCTCATAGGACATTTTCTTGAGTCTGGTCCCCCTTGCTCCCTCTGCACATACACATTTTGCATTTATAAATAAAAGTCTGATAGACAGCTGAACTGATTCAGAAATGGAACACTGGAAAGAAGAAGAAGAAAAGAAGAAGTAAAAGGCAGGGACAGACTTGGCAACATCCTATACGATAAAGTATAAATACCAGTCTCCTGAAAACTAACAACAACAAAAACTTCTTCATGCTAAGAATTTAGCAACCTAACACCAAATCAAGAAGAGCACATAATAGGGAGGAGGGCAACTGAGACACTGAACCTAATCCATCCTTTGTGTCACAAAATTTCTAAGCCTTCTTGAACATGTACAATTACTATCTGTGTCCAGCTATTTCCTTATAAATGGATATCCTTGAACTATTTTCCAATTCCATATACCCTTTAAAACTACTAGTAAAATTTCACAAATGACTTTGCTTGTTTTGTGTTGTGGTGTTTTGTAGTCCATCTGAGAACTATTATGTTTAGTTCCCTCAAACAAAAGTATACAAAATTATACTGTACATATATATTAAAAAAACTAACACTGAATGCAGTAAATTAGGTAATGTCACTGTTAGGACACATCTAACAACAATAAAATAAGCAATAAAACCTGAAGGTTTCGTTGAAAAGCTACAATGTTCACCTACCCTCATCATATAAATTATACATTCAAGAATTGTGTTCTATGCAAAATATAAACATGTCAATTTCAACCCAAGGGGCATTTTTCCTTAGGTTTATAACCCCTTGAAAATAGAGGTTTCATCTAGAAAACCTCACAGATCCTCAGCTGCTTTCACATTATAATATATTCATAAGGCAAGTAGTCACTGGCAAACATGTAACAAATTAAATGGCACGAGGATGGGGTCCAAATTTACAAGCATGAGAAATGGACAAAACCTACCATAAGACACAGTATAGAAAGCAAAGAAGTAAAGGTATACATAAAATCAGCAATATTAAAAACAAAACAGTATGGCTAGTTTTTTGGCCACTTTAAAGTGGTGAATGTGTGAGTGTGTAAGTGTGTATGTGTGTATCTACTACTATCATTAAAACTAAAGATGAAAAACTATCTCATGATTACACTGCAAAAGTCAAAGTATACTGCATGGGGTCAAATAAGAGAGGAAAATATCTTGTTTGAAAAAAAAAAAAAGTCACCTACCGTCATAGTAGACAATTGCTCCTACTAATTTGTCTTTCTGGAGCATTGGGAAATGTTCAAGGGCTCTTGATTTGCTGAGGACATAACTGCTTTTCAAGCAATTACTTCCTGCAACCAGATCATACAGCTTGATTCCTACCCAGTAGTAAGGTAACTGCCACCACCTGCAGCATAAATACGAGGAAAGGTTTGTTTAGCAGCAGAGCATAATATTATAGAATGTCACCTTATATTACGAGATACTGTTCATTTATATACAAAAGGCATACCTGGAAGTGGATGTGGACTGCAAAAACACAGGAGACCTTCATAACTGTTTATGACACCAATCTAGCTGAAGTATACATATGTCAATGAATCTGTGAACCTTCAATACTAATGCAGCAGTTCTCAACCTGGCTGCATGCTAGACTTCTCCGGGGAACATTGAAAGTAAATACCAATGCTTGGGCCTCAAATGTCCAAACTGATTCAGTTAGGCTAGCATGAGAGTCTGGGTGACTGCAATGCACACTCAGGGTTAGAAATAACTGGTTTGGGACAGCAGCTGGCACGGTGGTTAAGTCACTGCTTGGGATGCCTGCATCCCCTGCTGGAGAACTTAGTTCATTCCTGGCTACTCTACTTCTGATCCAGCTTCTGCTAATGTGTACCACAGGAAGCTGCAGATGATGGTTCAAGTACTTGGATCACTGGTGGGTTTTTTTTTAGCTTTTATTTAATAAATACAAATTTCATAGTTACATTTTTAGGAATATAGCAGTTTTTCGCCCCATACCCACCTTCCCAACCCCACTTCCATCCCACCTCCTACTCCCTCTCCCAACCCATTCTTCATTAAGATTCATTTTTAAATAATCTTTATATACAGAAGACCAACTCTATACTAAGTAAAGATTTCAACAGTTTGCACCCACACAGACAAAGTATAAAGTACTGTTTGAAGACAAGTTTTACCATTAATTCTCATAGTACAACTCATTAAGGACCGAGGTCCTACATGGGAAGTAAGTGCACAGTGATTTCTGTTGTTGATTTAACAATAGACACTCCTATTTATGACGTCAGTGATCACCCAAGACTCTTAACAAGAGCTGCCAAGGCTTTAGAAGCCTTTTGAGTCCACAAATTCCATCAGTATTTAGACAGGATCATAAGCAAAGTGGAAGTTCTCTCCTCCCTTCAGAGAAAAGTACCTCCTTCTTTGATGGCCCCTTCTTTCCACTGGGATCTCACTAACAGAGATAGATCCTTCATGTGCATTTTTGCTACATGTCTTGGCTTTCCATGCCTGAAATGCTCTCATGGGCTTTTCAGCCATATCTGAATGCCTTAAGGGCTGATTTTGAGGTCAGAGTGCTGTTTAGGGCATTTGTCATTCTATGAGTCTGCTGTGTGGCTTGCTTCCCATGTTGGATCATTCTCTCCTTTTTAATTCTACCTATATTTTTTATAAGATTTATTTATTTATTTGAAAGTCAGAGTTACAAAGAGAAAAGAGAGGCAGAGAGAGACAGAGAGAGTCTTCCATCCACTGGTTCACTCCCCAATTGGCCATGACTGCTGGAGTTGCACCTATCCGAAGCCAGGAGCCAGGAGCTTCCTCTGGGTCTCCCACATGGCTGCAGGGGCCCAAGGACTTGGGCCATCTTCTACTGCTTTCCCAGGCCATAGCAGAGAGCTGGATCAGAAGTTCAGCATCCAGGACTTGAACTGGCGCCCATATGGTATGCCGGCATTGCAGGCAGCGACTTTACCCGCAACGCCAAAGCACCAGCCCCTCTATCTATTGTTATTACCAGACACTTGGTCTTATTTATGTGATCCCTTTTACACTTATTCCCATCTATATGATCAGTTACACACTTGAAATGATCACTTAAACATGTAAGATGGCATTAGTACCACCCAGCTTAATGGAATTTGGAGTCCCATGGCAAGTTTATAGCTCTATCCTTAGGGTTAAGTCCGTGGGAACATATGATGGACTGTACATCTCTTCCCTCTCTTATTCCCACTCTTATTTTTTACTGATATCTATTTTCAGTAGGTTACTGTTACCCACATGGAAGACCAGTACTAAGTTCTTGGCTCCTGGCTTTGGTCTTGCCCAGTTCGAACTGTTGCAGGCATTTGGAAGGTGAACTAGCAGATGTAATATCTCTCTATCGCGCTCTCTCTCTCTCTCTCTCTCTCTCTGTGTGTCTCTGTCTCTCTCTTTCTCTCTCTCTGTCTTTCCAATAAAATGAAAATAATTTTTTTAAAAAAATCACGGGTTCAAGAAGCAATCGATGACAAAACATCGACAAAACAATAAAATCAGTCTCTGGGCCCCCACAACATTCATGTGGCTAAGAGTTGCAGGATCTACTTTTTAATATGATCTATATTTCAATTTGAGGAAGCTTCACAGATAACTCTAACATTAGGAAAATTAAATTGTATAATTTGTAATCTAATGTCTCCTAACAAAATTTCAGTTTTGGTTAACTTAGACACCTCAAACACCTGAAAGCTCTGGTTTTGCAGTTCATTTGCGATTGGCTCAGACTTATCATTTTACACTTTGGAAGCAGCTCTTTTATAGTCCTCAGTGCAAATGCGGTTCTTAATCTTTATCCTGTCAGAAACTGGAAAAGAAACTATGAGTTACAAATGTAGAATATAACCTCCTCTCTGCGTTCAAGATCTGGTTCTTAGAAATTGACTGATACAGAATAATTTAAGAAAAGCCACATTTAAATGTACCAAAGAAAATATTTGAAAAAGATTAAAGGTCAGGAACAATTAAATCCACATTGGGGGCCGTTTTTTTGGTGGCACAGAGGGTGAAGCCACTGTCTGTGATGCCAGCATCCCATGTGAGCACAGGTTCAAGTCCCAGCTGCACCACTTCTGATCCAGCTCCCTGCTAATGTGACTGGAAAAGCAGCAGAGAATGACCCAAGTACTTGGGTTCCTGAACTCACATGGGAGACCTACAAGTAGCTCCTGGCTCCTGGCTTTGGGCCAGCCCAGCTCCAGCCACTGTGGCCATCTGGGGAGTGAACCAGCAGATGCAAGATCTCTGTCTGTCTTTCCCTCTCTCTCTATAACTCTTCTTTTCAAATAAGTAAATAAATCTTAAAAGAAGAGAAATACACATGAAAGCATTATTTCCACTAAAACTGTGTTGTTCTATTGACCTCATGCAAGCAAAGAGTATACAGATGATGTCAAAAGGCTTACTTGTAAATTGGAAGCATTATAGGTAACGGAGCTGATAAGTGGGGAGCAATTTCTAGTAGGTTGGCACGCTCATGAAGGGCTTCTTTTACCATCCTATACTGAAAAGCAAAACAGAGAAAATTAGTTTGGCAGTAACAGATCATAATATTTTCAAATGGCAAATAGACACCCTGCCAACTGATTGATACACAGAAACCTTCTACCTCTGAGCGTGGATAGCTCTCTCCTAATCAAATTTCTAATAATACATCATGCTGTCAACCTCAAAGATTTTTTAGAAGCCTTAACTGTATTTGCATAGGAGAAAAACATGCTGTCAGAGTTCCCAGGTGTAAGAGATTTTCCTGACTTGAGTTACAAGATTATTGTAACCATTTATCTTGCATTCTCTGTATTGTCCTCCTTTCTTAGTTCTCCATAATATTTTCTCTGTGTAAGAGATAACACATTGTTCAAATCCATGCCAAAAGTTTCCTTCTTGCCTTCACTAAACCAAGCAAAGATAATGCTGAACAGTTGCCTGGCATTTTACAGATTACAAGAAAGCTTTTCTTAACCCCTGTCGTCCTCACTGTGCCTTCCTAAGGAGCCAGTGTTACTAGTACAATACTAATTTTACAAATGAGAAAACTAAGGCCAGTAGATGTTGAATAAATAAGCCAGAGGCCATCACAAATTAGCTGATTTGAAGCCCTATGCTATTTTCTTTGCATCCATCATGATGCTGAAGAGAACCGTTAAGAAAAGGGGACAGATTCAAAACTGACTTGTCAAGAGAAGAAAGGGGGACAGATTCAAAACTTGACAGTGTCAAGGCAGTGCTGCTATGTTTCTCATGTACAAAAAGCAGATAGGGAGTGCAGCTGATTTTTTTACCCCTCTGGGAAATGTCATCTTCCACACTGCCTTGGCAGTTTTCAAATGGTGGCAGACTGGACACAATAAAGTGTGACATAAGAAAAGCATGACTCAGATCATCTTTTCCTTGGGAGTATGTCAGTGACAATGTGAGCGAATGATTGCGGTTGCTGTTAAGAGGATCAATTTGGCACTCCCCTCGCATTACAACACAGCTCCCCTGAAACTGCTTGGGAAGTGGCAATTTGGTGGCCATTGGCAAAAACCCAATCTCAATTGTTAAAAGGCAACATGTCCAAAAGCGATTTTGTAAATCTGCTACTTTGACATGCCCCTGTAGAAAAAGCCCCTGATTACCCATTAACGTAATACTACAGACAAGAACTGACACACCTCTCCTGAAAGATATTCCAGCAGAATACACTAAATAGGTATTTCCAACAGGAAGAAATGTTAAAAGCTATTAAAAAAAAAAAAAAAGAAAGAAACCCTGATTTAATTGGGTAGAAAGGCATAGTCACAATTTTTGTTTAACAACCAGCATACACAATTACCTGCTCAATATCCAACTTCATGATGGCCTTCTGAAGATATCTCACACCACCATGGATCAATTTAGTGCTTCTGCTGCTGGTCCCTGATGAGAAATCATCTCTTTCAACAAGGGCTGTTTTTAGTCCTGTGTAACCAGAAAACCAAATTAACTTCTTAAATTACACAATTTGTATGTAATTCATTAAAGGCACTTCTCCAGGGTACAGACAATCACAAGAAAAATTACTCTGAACATGGATAAATTTGTATTCAAAGTGCAGTACACTGTCTATATTATAATGAAGAGATTTTAGGCTCTTCCTGGGGGAAAAGTCAAACCAGGGCTGGAAGCATATTAAACTGCGAATGAATCACAGCAAGATAATATCACAGTACAATTTCATGGCAGTAACATAGACTGGTGTGTTTAGAGGGTCGAGGGAGAGCCTGACACCTAGTTATCCTGGCAAGTTGGCTCAGTGTTGTCATGAAGCCTCTGGAACTCAAGTTCATCCCTCACTGCAGGAGCCCAGGTTCCTTCCAGCCCCTTACCTCTGATCTATTCTACCGCAGCACCAGTAAGACCAGACCTCCTGTGTGCTGACTTCTGCTAAGAAGCATGTCTGGAGTGGTAGTACAATGTGTATAAAATGGGGAGAGATATCCAAGGTGCCAAAACAGAGGACAAAAGAAGAAAATAACTTTAGATACTGAGGTATTTACCGTCGAATTTAAAACATTTAAAAGTACAAACCAATACAAATGAACACAGCGCAGAATCTCCAAGAGCTAAATAAACAAGATATTCTTGACAAGGCAAGGCTGCAGGGATGTGGAACAACCAACCCACAAGCTGCATAAGGCCTGCGAGATCTTTTGGTCTGTCCCTGCTAAGGCAATCACAGACAGGCCTCCAAATTCAAGAAATCTATAGCAGGCTAACTTTTAAGTTAATAATTCTGTATGGCCTGTGAATAATGGCATAAATATCCAAAATGGCTTTTAGTAGAAAAAGGTTCCTCACCCCTGCATTGGCGTAGGCTACTTCCAGAAGCCAGCCCTGCTCTCTTCACGTGAGGGTTGCTCCAAGTCTCGTAGGCATAAAACTATTTTTGCTTTATTTTGTTTTCCTGCAGCCAAGCCTCTTCAGGATTGGAGATGACCAGCAGTACCAATGACTTGCTCTGAAGCCAAAACTTCAAAAGACCTACAATGGTCACCTAGATCAAGCCATGTGGAACTTCCATGGCCTGGCATAGTCTTGGGGTTTGAGAGAATCTCATAGGATGCAGTTATAATAAGAATATGTATCTGGGGCAGTCCAAACTCACAAATCTCATACAGGAAAACATGGCCATACACTCAATTCAGAGTCATTCACTATATTTAATATCAAAGGGTCATTTTTATAACTTTTAACAGTTTAAATATCGCACCCAAATATCATCATAAAACCAGGGCAATTTCCTTAACTCAAAAGGACAAAACTTTTGGTAACTATGGAAAGAACAGTTGAGAATTTTGATTCCAGGTCAAAAATTGCTAATGCCCTAACTAATTAGCAAAATAACACAGAAATTACATGTATCAGAGACCCACGACATTGTTTCTAAGCATGTGTGCCAGAGAAAGAGTTGTTCAATTCTCAATTATTAAAATCCTGCAATGCTTAGTAAATTTAACACTGGATGTATTAAAGAGACATAAATATATTTTTATTTTTAGTATTTTTAAAATTTATGTTAGAATCAGAGACAGACAGAGTTCCCATTTGCTGGTTCACTTTTCAAATACTGCCAATGGCTAAAGCTGGGCCAGGACCAGAATCAGGAGCCAGGAAAACAATGCAGGTTCCATGTGGGTAGCAGAACCTCAATTACTAAAGCCATTAGTGCTCCCTCCTAGGGTTTGGCAGGAAGCTGGAGTCAGGAACTAGAGCTGGGACTAGAATCCAGGCACTTGGATGTGAGACACAGATGTCTTAGAGATTAGGATAACCACCTGCTCCCAGGACCTATTTTTAAAAGAATGTTTTCAGCCAAAGTGCAGATGTTGGAAATAAATTAGTCATGGACCAGGCTGTCAGGTATGGGGTACTTCAAGAAGTTAATGGAAAACAGAATTGAAAGGTAAGTTTATTTTCAGGCAAAAAGATTTCAAAATTCACGTATATATTTTTATGATATACATTTTCCGTGAACTTTTTAAAGATTCCTCATATGCATGGATTGTCAAAAATGTTTTGCACCAAAATAAACTTACTGTTTAATTCTATCTTCCATTAACTTTTTGAAGTACTCTCAAAAATCCTATATCAAAGATAGGCAAGTGAACAAAGTGCAGCAGAGTTTTACAGGCACCACATTGGAAAATCCAGAGAACTTTCATCTTACTCCAGGTAAGCATAAACTCAAAATTAATTGTATATAATCAAAATTACATTTGCAAACAACTTTAGAAATGCACTGTCTCATTGAGCTATATTACCTTTTCTTAATCTGTCCGACACAGACAATTCTCCTACCAGAACAAAAATAGACCTTTTTTCTTCAGTTGAAGATCAGACGAGGGAGTTGACTTTCAAATAGCATTTAAGAGGCAGATTATTTAAAAGACAAGCATGTCTCTCTTTAAACCCTGGCATCAGTCATGGCATCAAGATGCTCACACCCTGACAGGCAGGGAAACAAGAAAGGGGACCAGCAGCCTCCCATCCATCCCACAGGTTCCTCACCTGGGCCTGCCATAGGTATCTACAGGCTGCAGTAGACAGAACTCCCATTCAGGCCCCAGAAACCCTTACTTCCCAGTATGTAGTCCCCTGTCCAAGAGTGTGGGCTGGAACTTTCTTCTAATAAGCAGAATACAGCAATTAATGTTTTAATCACTTCTGTGATTAGGCTATGGAAAACTGGAAAGTGCACTCAATCTTGCTAGCACTCTTGCCCTCTCACTCATGTTCTGAGTTCAGGAACAAGATGGGGTTCCCAGGCATTAAGTAGTGGGGAACTGAGGCCTCAGTCCAACCAGAAGGAAGTGAATCCTGCCGAGGACCATGAGAGAGAGTAGGAATCACCATGGCTTGTGAGATTCTGCGAGCCACAGGATCCAGGCAAGGCTCAGGTAAGATTCCTCATCCACAGAAAACAGGTGATAATGTTATTGTTTTCCCTGATAAATTCTGAGGGTAGTCTACTGGTGACACAATTCCTGTGTGAAGAACAACTGCAACCAAGACGGGAGGTTTTAGGATGTGTCACTGGGAAAGACTGAGTCTATGTGCTCAGGAGGACTGGAGTGGAGGAGGGGGGTTATCATTGACCAAGACCAGATTGAGGAAGATAATCAAGGGAGGCAAATGCTTGAAATGGCCCAATTTATTCAGGGACTGCTTATCACACAGAGACTGAAGTGCAGGGTACACAGGAGACAGAACAAGAACTGAGCAAGGCAGATCACAAAAGGCTTCTCATCCACACTGGGGCATTTGGCTCCTGTCCTATGGGACCTTGTTTCAGTATCTGGACCTCTTCAAAGGGAAAATAACTGTAAACAGGGATATGGGTCCTGGACCAGTTTGAGAAACAAATATCTCATTAGAAAGGACAAGATTTTTCATCAATGACACACAGCAGGAACATGTTACTGTACTCAAGGTATCCATTCCAAAGAAGCAGGGTGTACTTGTTAACTCTTTTAGCATTGTAAGAAAGGAACAAAATGTAAACTTTTTACAGAAATTCTCAGTTATTGTTTTGAGAGACACTATTATGCTGTCAGAGGAGCCACAAAAATGTTTTAAACTGATACATCTGATTAATGATCTACAACACTTCCCACTGTGGGGATGAGAGGAGCTGCAGTTAGGAGACACATTAGTGAGCCAGTGCCACCTACCATGAATGGGGCAGCGAAGAATCCAGTGTCGCAAAGCAGAAGATGGTGCTGGAGAGTGGTACACAGCATCACAGGACAGAAGCAGAATGAGCAGAGAATTTTATGGACTCTGTGATCAGGGTGGATTTTTTTTTAATTTCTTGCCAACTGATAGAGAGAGAGGCAGGAAACTACCCTAAAAATTAGCAAGCCAGCTCAGGAGGCTCTTTCAGGTTATTTGAGAGCTAACAATTTAAAACTGGTGTTTTCCAGTAGCAGACACTGCAAAAGTTTTCCCACATACTGTTTGAGAAACTAGTGAATCCCAACAAAAGTTAAAAGTGCATCTCCATCAAAGCAGGCTGTTTTTCCTTTCCCATTATTTCCAGGGTCAGATCACCAAACCACCCTACAGAAGGCACCCTACAGAGAAAAATGAGACTGCTCCTTTCAGAGCAAAACCACCAAAATTTTGTCTCCAAAGTAGTAGCTACATTGATATATTAATGCCCTATGCAACCTAAGAGTATTTCTAAAAGTTTTCTGAACCACAATAGGATAGTCTAAATAAAATATTTCACAATTTTATCTACTATAACCATCAAAAGATTCTCAATTTCTTGTTTTTTTGTTGGATGGAAATGAGAGAAGTATGAAAGAAACATAAAATTGAGACATTATAAGAAGTTATAAATGCTTCTCACAACTTTCCTCATAAACAGATGAACGTACTGCAGTGACAGCAGTGAAATTTTAAAGAGCCTTTTGATGTTCTCATGTGGCACTGTAATCTGTCACTTATGCTCTCTCTCAAAAATCCCAACATTTTTCCTCCTTTCAAAACTTGCTGACCTGAGACTGTGAACTGAGTTTTTTTGGTGCCTTAAGTATAAGATTAGGAAGTGAGGAGGAGTTATTTTATTCTCCCAGAGTGAATAGTATCACGAAGTAGTATTCAATGCTAGCCTTTTGTTTTCTGGGATAAAATAACTTAAGTTTGAAGGTAATCAAAAACAATGTTCCATCTCTCTCTCTCTCTCTCTCTCTCTCTCTCTATATATATATATATATTTCTCTCTCTACCTCTCTGTAACTCTGCCTTTCAAATAAATAAATAAATCTTTAAAAAATATAATGTTCCCGAGATGCAAGTGAATTCTTGTTGCCAGGGACTTGAGGAGGCTGGGAGAAGACCTTCTATCCAAGTAGAAAGAGTGACCTCACTACACTCAGGAAGGAAAGGGCTGGCCTTGTTGTGCATGTAAGCTA